ATATTAAAAGTAAAACACTTAACTTAAACATATTAAAAGTAAAACACTCAACGTAAATATATTAAAAGTAAAACACTCACAAAAACATAACTTTAATAATATTTGACATTTCTATCCCCAATTAAATGATCACTTCTACCTTTAGGATTTTCAAATTTTTATGTTGTCCACTTTTGTCATTTTCCTTTTTCTCTTCATCATTATTGCACTTTTGGTGGCTTTTATAATTAGAAGAGTTATAGTTATAACCACCACGATTGTGATTATTGCGACTTTGACCAAGTCCATAGCCACGGCCATGACCTCACCCACGCCCATGATTATCAAATATTGTCACATTCACTTAGGGAAATGGAGTAAAACCTGTTGGGCAAGCTTCATAATTTTTCATTAATAGCTTGCTATTTTGTTTAGCCACAAGAGGGCATGAAATTAGTTATGAATATTTTGAAAACCCTTTTCTCTATATTGCTACTACAAGAGCACATTTGATGCATGAAAAGTAGAGAATGTTTTCTCTAACATATCTTCATTAGTAATATTTTGTTTTCATACAATTTTAGTTGAGAACTAATTATGAATACTGTGTAGTTATATTCACTTACTGATTTGAAATCTTGAAAGCGTAAATGCATGTAATCATAATGAGCTTTAGGAAGAATCACAATTTTCTAGTGGTCATATCTTTCCTTTAAATTTTTCCAAATAATAAGTGGATCTTTTACCATAAGGTATTTAGTTTTCAATCCTTCATGGAGATGATGTCAAAGAAAATCATGGCTTTAGCCTTATCTTGATTGGATGATTCATTTCCTTCTTTGATGGTGTCAACAAGACCCATAGCATCTAAGTGAATCAAGAATCCATGACAAATAATTCTTGCCCATAATATCAAGAGCCACAAATTCAAGTTTCTTAAGATTTGTCATGACGAAAACTATAAAAGAAATATTTAATAAATTAGACAATCTCTGATAAAATGAATATATTATCACAAATAAGAATTTAGAATAACAATAATGAACATACAATTTATTACAGTTATAGAATTTAATCATTTAAAAACATAAATCATAAAAGCAAATATTTACAGATATATGTGTCTTTCTTTATTAATCAAATTATAAATCTATCACTATATAATGTTTTGTTTATAATGAAACCAAAACTTTCCAAATTAAAACACTTTCATATATTTTATACTATAAAAATGACTAAACATTCCAACATATTTATAAAACATATTGAGGTACAAGCAAAATTGAATTTACTTACTTGGTAAATGGAACTCCAACTCCAAATTTGATTAGGGACAACAGCTTGAAACTTGATAAGAATCTTTTTCCCTTGACAAGTTGATATGGTTAGAGACTCGTGCTGGTAACATATTATAAGATATACTAAAAAAAGAGAGAAGATAATTGAGAGGAAATAGAACCAATACTTTTCTATTCCAAAGTGGAGTGTACATCATCTTTCACAATACATACGTTTATAGTCTCAAGATTATGAAATATTATAAATGAAATTAAAAGCTAATAAAATGCTTTAAGTTGTAGAACTTGAAAGGTTCAAGAGTTAGAGAAGATGAAAGATTAGGAAGTTATAGAACTGCAAGGGACATCCACATTTATTCGTAACAATTTGAAATTATAAAATATAGTGGTTGTTTTATTGATAAACTCTATATTCAATTGTGAGAGAAAATTGAATCGTTTTTTTATTGTATTATTGTTATTATTTTGTATTCTTTTCCTGCTTTTCTTTTAAAAAGGAGAATGAATGATACTACCATGAAGGCATGGAAATTGCTGATAAACTTTTTGAATGAAGACAAAAAATACAAAACATATACATTGACATACATGTGCTTTATAGTAGAAGAGTTAAAAGAAAATCAAAGGTTAATAATATTTTATATAATCCAATCTTATAATTGTGCGAGGTACTAGAGAACTAGAAAATGTTTATTAAAACATTGAATCTTAAAATCTGTAAGCAGTTGAAGGCGACGAGGGCAAAAGTTAAGTCCAATGAAATACATTGTTTTTTTTTTTTTTTTCATGCCTATACTGAAATTTAAGGGTGGGTGGGTTTAGGAACCTAGCCAAAACCCTTGGAACCGGAACCAGAGTATTCCGGGTACCCAACCATGTTCCATCAAAATACAAATACACCCTTACTATTCACAAAAATAACAAATATACCCTATCCTATTCACATAAAATTATAGATATACCCCTAACTATTTGCAAAAAATACAAATGCACAATACCACAGATCCCTAAATTCAAAACTTGTAGCTTGTTACTACTTTGTAAATCCACTCTCATTCTCTGCCATTTCAAGTCATTACCCAAAAGCAACTCTATATACTCCACACTTTTCTTATTCGGCCACGAATCAACAACCAGCGCGTTACCACCTTTCGAAATCCATCTCACTTTTGCTTCGTCAGAACATATGTATTGTAAGGTTTAATTTGATTGAAATGCATTGCATAATAGTCTTTTAATGATTTTATTAAACCTTAGTCCCACGATCTGGGAATTGATATAATTATTTTTGCATGTTAATTCACATACAAAGTAGTGAATTACTTACTTTCATTTGGAGGCTCTTTCTTTTTGATACTTCGCAACTCGATTCAAGGGCAGAATCGCATTTTAGCATCCACACAGAGAATCTTGCAAATTAATCAAAGGAAATCCCACTTGATAGAGAGGAAGTGGGCGGCGGCTAGGGTTTTTCTCTCTAAAAAATTCTCTCAATTTTTGATTGAATGAATTCTCTTATTAAACCTAATTTTAAGTTGTCTTATATAGGCAAATTAAAACCCTATTCCAATTTGGAAGATGATCTATTTTTTTCCTTGTTTGGTTTTAATTATAAACCAAATAAGAACAGTATTAATTAGGATTCCTAATAGCATTAATATATATTAATCAATTGATTAGGAATTTTATTTTTCAATTACTATTAAATATAAACATTTAATACTATTTAGGGTAATTTAATTAATACTAATATATTTAATAAATATATTAAATATTAATTTGCTAATTTATTTATTACACAATAAATACACATAGGCGCCAACCCATGTAGAATTACCAAATGGCCCTTGTCTTTGTGTAAAGACCAAAATACCTTTTAACCCTTCTTTGATTAAATACACATTCCACAATCAAACTCTCCTTATGTATGTGACCCGTAGGCTCCCTATCATGTTCGCAATGAGTACTATTGCGATTAACCACCAATTAATCATCTTATTATTCACAGACCAAGATTGGCCTCTAGCAAGGCGTCATGCCCACCCAACAAGTAGAGATCAATGAAGAGCTGATACCTATCAATGGTATGGTTACCATTCAATCCAATCCTTTCATCATATATTATCTCATCAAGGCTGAGGTAAAAAATAATGTCATCCTCATATCATACCCTTGATGTATTTGGTGGTTGGTTATCGAACTAATGATCAAAATTAAATCGGATTTGAGTGACAACTCAATTCCATTGTGGCCACAGATTTATGGTTGTTGCCATATAACCAAACAACGCAATGAGATAACTTCTCTCGTAACCAGGAGTGATGAATCTTTTGTTGATCCACCATATCCATGATATATTTCATGATATAGTTAAGGATTATGTTAGGTTAGTGTCAAACCACAACACTATGTACACATGACACTCTGATGATCTCAAGTCTTAAGATCACATGCACCACCATCCATAAAAGGATTTGTTCCATAGACATTGGGTTTAACATCTACATGGAATCCTCCAGTGGGTCAGTCCAATGAGCTTGCATCCAACAAGCACCCACGCGTTGCACCAAGTTATCATTTAACAACTTTGACATGTGAGACATGTCACTACCTTTCCGTAGGGTCATTCAACATTGTGATAGTGTTACCATATTATTTGTGCCCTAGGTTAGAATAATACTAGGGCTATGGATGTTTCTAGAATGGCCACCATATGTGTTCATAGGGATCGCACAATCAAGACTTAAAACGCTTGATTCCCTCATCATAGTTCTACCATCCTAATGACATCTATTATAACATACATGAGATGCAAATTACATAATATAAATATTGGCTTTATTGATATATAAACATGATACATTGGAGGCAAGTACAATAAATGATTGGCTCTAGGGCACCTACTCTAATAGGTGATGCGTTGTTACTACAACATGCAATATAGCAAGTGCACTAGTCGTACAAAGTAATAAAGTGATGAGTGAGTATCGTTCCCACGAGGATAGTGTTACTAAGTACCGATTTCCCTAATTTAAGTCCTAATTAAAGCAGCAATAAATTGGATTGATGGAAAATTAACAACTNATTTAGCTAAATATTAGGGAAGGTCAATGTGATTTTTATCGAGTTTACTTTCTGCTGCTGTAAATAAGGCTTAAACAGAGGGGAAAGAAAGAAAGAAAGAACAAATTATTGTTTGCAAGGTGGGTATGCTTTCGGGGCTTATGGATCTAATCTTTTTTTTTTTTGGGTCAGTTTCATTAGGTCAAAGCGGTGGGTAAAGCATTGATTATTCAATGTACTATTGAGTTATTGTTGTTGGATTCGGAGGCTGGGCTATACAATGATAAAGGGTTTTGGGAATATGTTTGGTTTAAATCTTTTTGTGGTTGTTCTCATTAATTAGTTTGATACGCTTGTAGATGGTTTTATGTACTTAATTTTGGATGTCTCTAAGATTGGAAAAGAAAATGTTGTCTTGATTGGGTAAGGAACAATTTTTGTAATCTGGAATGGCTATCTAAAGGATTATCCCAAGTTAGCTGAAAATTTTAATTTTCTTGTGTTGGTACTGTGAATGTTTTGGAGAAGTTTAATATCTTAGGTTTTAAAACTAGGGGAAAGAAGTTCTTGGATTAACTGTGTTTCTGTTGATTATTTTATCATTTTGATTCTTGAACTTTTTGTTTTTATTCTGGCAAGAAATATGCTTTCCTCTTTTAGGTAGATTTAACTTGTGAAATTTATTTATCTTCTTTGGTTCCCTTTGATCAGATTGGTCCAGACCAGATAGAGGCATTATATCAATATGCCAAATTTCAGTTTGAATGTGGGAACTACTCTGGTGCTGCTGACTATCTTTATCAGTACAGGGCCTTGTGCACAAACAGTGAAAGGAGGTTGAGTGCACTATGGGGAAAGTTGGCAGCAGAGATATTGATGCAGAACTGGGATATTGCTCTTGAAGAACTTAATCAGTTGAAAGAAAAAGTTGATGATTCAAAGGTGTTTTTGCTTTTGGAAAATTTTTTTCATACATATTTTTGTGTTTTTACTTGCATCCTAGTATTGTTTCAGTGTAATGTCTGTACCAACTCATTACTTTTGTTGCAGAGTTTTACTTCTCCTTTGAGTCAGATGCAAAGTAGAATATGGTTGATGCATTGGAGTCTGTTCATCTTTTTCAATCATGATAATGGAAGAACACAGATCATTGACTTGTTCAATCAGGATAAGTATGCCGCTTCCAATTTTTGTCTGGTTCTGTTTACACTTTTATTATTTTGTCAAATTTATCATGCTTCACTTAGTGTCAAGTACATCTCTTATGTGTTTCTTCCTTACCTTTTGTTTCCTTTTTTGTTTGGGCTTCTAACAGCTTCTAGGATGATGATGGTACTGAATTAAATTGATGAACTTCTCATCTGTTACTGCCAATGCAGCTTTTAAATTTAATTTTCACTATGAAAACCGCTTGCAAGAAATCATTGTACTATGAATTGTTTTATATTGTCTTTTGTTGTTATGGAAATTGCTGTATGATGATCAGGGTGCCGAATATTTTCTAGTGCATAGATTTGTCATAACATGATGGCTCATTGATGCTTCTTTTTTTTTGAAGTCTTGTTTTCACATCCTTCTTTTGTTATATTGGAAGTCATTTTTCATGTAACCAGAATCGTAACTTTTTATGTCACACTCTTGTCTCAAGTATAGAAGTAGTGATTTGAAGCAAAAGTAATATCTGTTTCTGTAGTGCTTCAATTTCTTGTTTCATAGCAGAAAGAAAAATTATCCTTAATCATAATAATTGTGTTTGCCCTTTAATTATTAGTTTTTTTCTTTTTGAACTTTCTACTGCAAGCTATAACGATGTTGTACCTACTATCAGTTTATTATTTTTTTTTTTCTTGTAATCTGAGAAGATGGGAATATCAATTGTCAGGTATCTCAATGCCATTCAAACAAATGCTCCCCATCTCCTACGCTACTTAGCCACTGCATTCATTGTCAATAAAAGGAGGAGACCTCAATTCAAAGATTTTATTAAGGTTATACAGCAAGAGCAGTACTCTTACAAAGATCCCATTACAGAGTTTTTGGCATGTGTGTATGTCAATTATGATTTTGATGGTGCACAAAAGAAGATGAGAGAATGTGAAGAAGTAAGCTTTCTTTACCTGAATGTGACTTTCACTAGTATCTTTGTGAAAGTACCGAGTCATATATATATATCATATCATTTTTGTTGAGATGTTAGAATCTGACTTGGGATTTGGGGGGTTTGGGATAGATTCTGTTTTTCACTCTTCCCTTTTAGTCTTTGTATCTATTATTTTGTCAGAAACTCTGTTGTCTGCGCCTAAATTTTGAAGCTGTGACCCGGATTGTCCTAACCTTGTATGCAAATATAGGTTATATTGAATGATCCCTTCCTGGGAAAACGATTGGAAGAAGGCAACTTTTCCACTGTGCCACTGAGAGATGAGTTCCTTGAAAATGCTCGGCTGTTCATCTTTGAGACCTATTGCCGAATTCATCAGCGTATTGATATGGGGTAAGTGTTTGTTTTCTAAAACTGTTTACTCTAGTTACATGCTTGGGAATATCTGTATCTCAGCAAAACAAAATATTACTAATTCTTCTCTGTGCAAGTGGTGTCTGCTGCATAACATGCCTCTTTGCTCCAGAACCTTGGCTCTTTTACACTATTCTGTTTAATGAAAAAAACTAAGGAAAAGTATTTGAAATATAGGTAAATATTGTTAGATAAGTCCGCAGAGTTTGGTTTATTCTGTACAACATTGGCATCATGAACAAATTTTAAGTTCTCATGATATTTTCCGTATGGTACACTTGTAAATAAAATGTAAGAACCAATGAAACATGTGTAACCATATCTAGGGGAAACTAAACCATACAACTACTTTTTAAAGACCTTGTCTTTCCCTCTTTATATAAAAACTTGTTTGTGCAGTAATTCCTGTTTCTTTCATCAACTCTCAAAGTTTTACTAGAGCAATTCACATTTATTTGCACTCTTTATATGTGGCAGAGTGCTTGCTGAGAAGTTGAATCTGAATTATGAGGAGGCTGAAAGATGGATTGTGAATCTTATTCGGAACTCAAAACTTGATGCCAAGATTGATACAAAGACAGGAACTGTTATAATGGAGCCTAGCCATCCCAATGTGTAAGATTATATATACACATTATTGTATCTTTGCATAATGATGCATGCTCTTTCCCATGTTTCATTATTTTCTTCTTCCACACGATTTCTCTGTTAACTTTTTGCTTTACTCTTTATTTCAGGTATGAGCAATTGATAGACCACACCAAGGCACTATCAGGACGTACCTACAAGCTAGTCAGTCAGCTTATGGAACATGCACAAACACAAGCTGCTCGATAAGTCAGTGCTGACATTTCTTAGATTTACTTGTTGCAAGTTTTGATATATCTAGGTTAAAATTAAAGCTTCCTGGTAATCAATCATTTGCTGTTTTTTCCGGAGTTGGAATGAAGAAAAAGAATCCAGTATTTTTGTAAGATAATTTATAATTATGTTCTCAATATTTGCTGTAAACTTTTTTAATTTTTAAAAGATTAACATGTTCTTTCTTGATGAGGTTATTTCCTTCCAAATTGTTTGGCAAATTTTTGCTATTGCATTCCTACTTGGAGCCTTGTAGCAAATCTTTGATGGTTGTAGTTGAAGACAGCTTGAGTTGGTTGGGATCATAATCATAAATCATTTATAGAAAACTAGATGTGTTCCAAAGAGCAGCTTCTCATTCCTCGAGAAATTCTATTTATAAGGATTTGTAACCAAAACACTCTACTTCATAAGCAAAAGCTTTCATCTTTTTCTAAGTAAGATTGATTTGTTTTCAGGTTTTCCTAGGGCTGTTAGATGAGCTCAGCAGCTCGGCTCGTCTGAAGCTCGTTTATGACTCGACTCGTGGTTAGTCGAGTCAACTCGATTTGAGCTCGCTATATAAAAACGAGTGGAGTTCGAACATGGGGAGGCTCGGCTCATAGGCTTGCGAGCCTGATGTGGCTTGGCTTGGCTAAGTAGGGTTCTATTTGTTATATTTTATAAACTATGGGAACTAAAGTATTATCTATATTCTTTAGTTTTAAAATTTTGTAAAAATGACATTTAACCCCCTAATATAATTTGTTCTAAAACACAAAATTAAACCTCCAAATCAGATATCCAAAATCTACAAACCTTAACCCCTAAATTTGTTCTTGCAAATATTCATAATCAAAAATCAAAATCAAAATCGACATAATGATTGTGTTGAGGAAGAAGACAAAGATGAAGACGTAGAAGATGGAGATGGAAGCAGTATAAGTCTACATAACTCGTGATGCAATGCAAGATGAAGATGAGATGGAGACGAAGATGAAGATGAAGATGAGACGATATGAAGATGAAGATGAAGATGAAGATAAAGATAAAGATGATGGAGATAAAGATATGTAGATGATAGAGATAAAGATGCAAATGATGAAGATGAAGTCAAGTAGACTCGAACTCGATCGAGCTTGAGTTCGAGTCCCTTTTCTCTGACTTGATAGGCTTGAGCTCGAGCTCGATCTGGTAGCAAACAAGCCAAGCTCGATAAGACAAAAACTCGACTCGACTCGACTCGGCTCGTTTATAGCCCTAGGTTTTCCATCTTCTCGAACCTTTTTTAATCTTCCCCTCTCAACCATTTTCGAATTGTTGGATTTGAAGCATTGTTTTAAAACTTGGACCGGAGGGCAACCCGCTCAGCTGTCTGGGTCATGGGTCAACCGGTCCGGCCGATTGGACTAGTGATGTCATCATGATGACGTCAGCACTGCAAAAAAATAAAAAATAAAACCTGTTTTTTTTTTTTTTTTTTTTGAGATTTTAAGATTTCCATTTTTTAGTAAAACAATAACAACTTAATTACTGTCCACATTATTTTAAAAACTGGACCGGAGGTAACCCGCTTTGATGATCGGGTCACGGTTCAACCGATCCAATCGGTTGGACCGGTGACATCATCACACATCATGATGACGTTAGCACATTTTTTTTTTTTTTAGATTTCTATTTTTCAATAAGACAATAACAACTTAATTACTGTCCAACATGATTCAAAGTTCAAATTCAACAACAATCCTAACATAATTTAAGTATTTATCAACAATTCAAAGTCCAAATCCAAACATGATGTTGTATTTACATATCAAATGACAAAATACATAATAATTAATAACAAAACATTTGATGCAAATGTTTTTTCTTTGATCCGTCTCCATATTGATTGAGCTTCACACACTAGCATCAAAATTCATCACCATCATCACCATCATCATCATCATAACCATCACCACCATCTACGCAAATTTCAGTAAAAAATAGAAATCAGAAGTTAAAACTTATAATTTAATTTAAATAGATACAGAGTTGCTTAAATAATTGAAACCAACCTTCTGAACCATCAGTTGAATCATAAAAAGAAGGGTGATCAGCAACTCCAGTAGGAATAGATCCTTCTCCATATAACATTTGTTCCAACTCCTCATAATTAAGTTCACTGACCTCCTCCTCCTCTTCATCGTCAACTATCCAACCTTCAGTTTTGTCGATACTTTCATAATCAATAGGATCCAAACTTATTCTCTATAACACTTCCTAAAATACCATAAAGAAATATTAAAAGCATGACAACTAAAATATCAAGGAAAATAATAGATAATAACAATAAGAGTGATGCATAATTGAGTAATTGACAATGTTTTATACCTGTTTTGCAAACGCAAGTTATAGTGAACGAAAACAAGATTATTCAACCTTTGATGCTCCAATCTATTCCTCTTTTTAGTATGTATGCGCTCAAAAACACTCAAATTTCGTTCACATCCCGAAGAGCTTGAAGTTTGACTAAGAATTTTTATTGCAAACTTTTGCAAATTTGGAGTACTATACCCAAATGATCTCCACCATTCATCTAATTGAAAATTAAATATAATAAATAAATTAGACTTAAAAAACAAAAGAACTTATAAATTTTATAACTATTACGTACCAGGACGTGTGGTTTTGGCGGTTTCAAGAGTAAGCCCGCGAGAAAAGCTTTCCTCCCAATTTGAATATAATTTACTCTCTTCCATTAACTTTGTCTTGTTCAGATTGAAAGCACTTGCTTTACTTTCAATAGTTTCAAGGAAACCACTCATGACTTTTGGCTTGAGGCAAAAAGATTCTTTGTCATATTTAAAGGTAGGATTCAAATAATAAGCCGCAGTATGGATATCACGACGCAATGTCCTATCCCAACATGGCTTAATGATTCGTGTATAAGGCTTGTACAATCTTTTTTTATTCTTAAACAACTTCTTAATTGCATTTTTCGCTCTGTACATGCCATCATACACATATCCTATTGTTGGCTTCTCATCCGAGTCAACAATCCTCAACAAGCGCATCAATAGACTCACAACTTTGGATATCTTACCCATATCATCCCAAAAATCGTTATCCAAAATTATGTCAATAACATGTTTGCCTTTATTACTTTTTGCATATCGAGAATCGACAAATGACCTATCTGTAACCATGGCTTGCAAGTCATGTTTGTGCTCATGAATGCTTCTCATTGCAATGAAAGTTGTAACAAAACGGGTTGCACCCGGACGAACAATTTCTTTCCAACCCTGTTCAATTGATAAATAATAGATGTTAGTCAATAATAAAAAATGCATATTATGTTATGACTTGACAAGAACATGAGCTAAACGTATATTACCTGTCTTTTTCTCAACCAAGCTATCAAAATTGTATGATTATATATAAACTTCGTCACCTCAGAAGCACGTCTCGCAAGATAAACTATGTGATCCATCTCAGCTATGTCTTTTAACACCAAATTTATGCTATGTGCTGCACAGGGTGACCAAGTAATACTCGGATATTTCTCAGATAACATTCTTCCAACAGCTTTATAATTGGATCCATTGTCTGAGACAAAATGGACAATACTATTTGGTCCAATCCATAAAGCTACCTCCTCAAACATCTTCAACAATGTCCCAGCATCCTTCACAACATCTGAAGCATCAACTGATTTCACAAAACAAACTCCCTTAGGACAATACATCATAAAATTGATCAATGATCTATGTGAATTATCAGTCCAACCATCAGCCATTAAGGTACATCCAACATTTTTCCAAATCTTTCTGTAACTATCAATAAGAAGTTGCACTTCCTTCTTAGCATCTCTTAACAAATTGACACGCAAAGCATGATAATTTGGGTGTTTATACCGAGGCCCAATTGCAGCTATAGCATCCACCAAAGGTTGAAGATAAATTGAATTCACAGCATTAATTGGGATACAAGCATCATAAAAGAATCTTCCAAAAGCCATGTCTGCTCTCCACGTCGCATCTTTTCCAGCTAACAACTCCTAATTGATGGTTGAGATCCACCAATTGTCCTTGGAGCAAAATAGTCACCAACCCTAATAGATTTGTTTCTCTTTGATTTGTCTAGCATTGTACTTTGTTTTTTATTGCCAAACCTACCTTCATTTATGTGAATTCCTGATGGACGAAACTCTTCACTATCTTCATTTAACATATCTCCCTCAAATCCATGTACGGAAGCACCATAAGGAGTATTATACTTACTAGAATCAGTCTTCTCTTTATTCTTTATCCCTATGTCTTTTAGTGATTCTCTCATGGAGTATTGAACATCAAAAGGAACTTTTTTACAAGCACCAACATCCCCTTTTGTTCCAGCTAGATGTTGTTTCATTCTAAAAATTCCTCATCCTCTAGTTACTTTCCCACAGTGAAGACATCTTAATGTCTTCCGTCCATTTGGATCTACACCCTCAATAACATGTGCCCATGTTATATCAGTCCTACCTCTACTAGATTGTGAAGAAGACCCAGAGCCAGATGTTGCCATTGTTTATTTTTAATCTTTATCTACCTATCACACAATAAAATTGCAAACCAAAGAATCACATATTTGTGTTTGCATTTGAATTTTGTAAAACAGTAAAAACAAATTACAACAAGATAACATTTGTGTTATGTGTATGTATGGCTTGGTAGAATGAATGTTAATCCAAATGAAAACGGAAAATTAGTCAAAAACTGATTGGTTCATTCATTTGAATGGATGTCATTGATTCACATAAATGCATTTGGATGGTGCATTAAATTCAAATGAGCTGGGCCTAAAATTATCTCAGGCCGCTTGGTGAAAGTTTGGTTGATCTTGGGCTTGTTTAAAGATTCCAGAGTTGAAACTATACAAGATTATACCCAATTCATATTTTTATATAAATTTCTCCTCTGGCCCTTTCATTTCCTATATTCATTCACCTTATATCTTTGGGAAGCAATGGAGTGATCAATCAATTGTTCATGCAAATGAATCTTGACATTTGGGTTAAAGCAAACATAGAAGGGGATCATGAATGGAGATCGAGTGAGCATAAAAAGTGGCCAAATATTGTTGTTTTCTGACCAATGAAATACCACAAAATTAAAC